CTCTGGTGTCCAATTAGAGGCTTCTTAACTAACTAGGTAATTACACAGGTTTGGGAGGTTGCTCTTCATGGAAGGCAGCAGCCCTAGGAAGGAAAACAACCCAACCAAACAAAACACACCCCCCTATATGTGCATATAACCCCCCTTATTATTAAGGAAATAGCTGCTGCAAAACCCTTGCTCCTATCTCAGCCTGACCTGCAGAACCCCCTTCTTCATGGAGGGGTAATTTAGGCCACAGCAGATGTTCCAGCAGAGCTGCCTCAGCTGGGAAGCCACGATCCTGCTGTAGCTTGTGGGTGGTTTATATATATATATATATATATTTGAGTAGAATTTGGCTTCAGGGTAACAAATAATCTCAGGAGATAATCAGGAGATAGTGAGGATTTGGTTTTACTGCCGTGGGTAGAACCATAGAGTGGTTTTGGTTGGGAAAGCCCTTGAAGACCCATCACGTCCCAGTTAATCCCAGTTAACCCAGCACGCTGCCAAGGCCAGCACTAAGCCCTGTCTCTCAGCACCGTATCTCATGAAGGCACGTGGTCTTCAACATCAGTTCCTGGAGACCCAGAGTTATTCTGTGCCCTGGCTTTTTGTAGGAGGCAGTTTTACTGGTGGTGATGGTGTTTTGTGCCACCTGTGATCTCAGTTCTACAGCCCCAAAGCAGCTTGGGTTGTATCATCTTCAGTGCCTGAAACTCGGGAACCTTCCAGATTAGGAGCTTCACTGGCTTGTTCCTTTGGGCATGTTTAAATGCCTCACAATATTTCGAGGCCTGGGGTGCAGGTGCTCCCTCTGAGAGGGCAGGAAGGTGCTGGGCAGGAGCGCCGAGTGGCTTGGAGGCGTGGGAAGGAGCAGCCTGCCCGTGGGCACTGCTAGGGGCTGTTGGGAGGCCAGGCTGGGAGAAGGGAAGGTCTCCCAGTTCTGCAGCACAGCACCCTGTCCTTCCTCTGCCTGTGGGAAGACATCCCTGAAACAGGGCTTCATTCCCCTTAAGTGATCTGCTGAGGTTGTTGGCAGCAGAGCTGGGTGAGGAGGGGTTGGCCCCGGGATGCCACGCACGAAGCGGCAGAGCAGGTAACGCCGGGTCCTGCTGGGCAGTCTCTGCAGAGCCACCCGAGGCCACAGGCTGGAGAGGCTCTGCTGAGCTGCCTGGTTCCCTGCAGCAGTGGGGAAACCCTGCCCAGCGTGGTAAAGCTGAGAGAAGTAGATGCAGAGGGTAAGTTCTGGGTGCTGCAGCAAGAAGTGGTAGATTTTAGCTGCGCAGCGGTGGGAAGCCTCGTTACAGGGAGAGTAATTGGAGTAGAGGATGATGCATCTGATGTGTTCATAAGCACCTATAACTGCATCCAGGTACCCACCTGCCTCAAACAGCATCGATTCTGGGTGCCTGGCCTGGGCAGCACAGTTGGTAGCACAGCCTTTTTGGACTAAACCCCCCCAGAAACTCCTCAGCTCGTAGAAGAGGAGGTGTTTGCTTCTGAGTGTTGCTGTCAACCCACCCGGGAAGCCAAAGACCCTGCAAAATTCCTCATAAGGGACTCTGGCTTCTTCACCAGTTCGTATATGGAAGGGACACTTGGCACACAGGTGGGTTTGTTTCTGCCAGCAAAAGGGCTTCACCACAGTCCCCTGATTTGTCAGATATTCTTGGAAAATTGCTTGCTGTCCTGGATTCATGGTCTGTTGCAAAATCTCCCTGTTGTGCTACGTAGCTGGCAGGCCTGAAGGAAAAAGGAAAGCAACATTTTAATTCAACCCTTCCATTTGTTTTGCATATAACCTGCAAAAATACTGGGGGGATAGTCTCTTAGAACATGTACCAAAGCTTGCAGTGGGGTATAGAAACTTGGTTGATGACATGGGGAACAAAGCTCTCTTGCAGCCTGGGAGCATTTTTACTTTTCACCAAGTAGCCTTTTTGCTAAAAGTGCCAGACAAAAATATTCCTCTGGCTTCTGCTCTCTTACCCTAGGCAGGAGAAACTAACTAACAAAACCACTGATGCTTTTCAGAAATAGATAACCAGATGACCCTTATCCAATCTGGCAAAACAAGTAAACATTAATAATACTAATACTACTACTACTAATAATAAAGTATAATTACCATCCATTTCCTTCAGTGGCTTTTTAGGATTGGTTCAGAGTTTCCACTGGAGTGAATATTGCAAACTTTCTTGTCAAAATGAGGTGGTGCAGAAGAAAGTGACTGTTTCTTCCCTGCTCTTGGCAGCTGAGCTGCAGGAGGCTCTTCCCTGAGTGCAGAGTGTTTCCTCCTGCTGTCATGGTGATGGCAGGCGGGCTCCTCGAGGTGTTTACAGGTGCCAGGTCCTAGGAAACAAGAAAATAAATAGGGTTAGTTCTTTTGTACTGCCAGCCACCTGTGGTGGTGAAGCTTCTGTTCTTTCCCTGTCAATATTTGTTCCCTATTTATTGAGTTCCCCTTGTACCCTTAGTGCTGTTTTGATACCAGCTCTTTAGAGCTGAAAGGTGGATGGATGTTCTTTTAACTGCTCTGTTGCTAAATTTGGTTCCAGCTTCTTCTGTCATTCACAGGCGACCAGGTTGTCCCTTCCCTCAGAAGGATGTGTGTCCCCCACTGAGGCAGTGGCCGACTGCCATGTCGTGAGTAATGCCCTAAACCACCTCAGCCTGGCTTTGGCAGGGTCCCAGATGGGTGCAGAGCTTTGTGTAGATGCACAACTTCTGATTTAAGCAGCTGACGACGCTTCTTCATTGCCGCTCCCATCGAGCCACTGATCACCATCCTTGGACCTGGTTTCATTCTGTTGCTACTCTTCTGACTGTGCACACCTTTTCCATCTGCTTGTCTTATGCCAGCATTGCATGTTGGTTGGCCCTCTGGCTGTCAGTGCTTCGTTTGCTTCTTAAATGACTGATTTGATTCATTTGCTTTGTTTCTCCTCCCTGGCTCTGTGCCAACTTCCAGGTATTTTCCTGTGTTGGAGCTCTTTCCTGGTGCAGGCCATTGTGCTATTCCCATTCAGATTACTGCTGAAGATTGGCTTCCTGATCCCCAGAACACTCCATTTTGTCATTTTGGATGTTTCTGTGCCATTTCTGGTTGTCCAGTTGTCCCCTGTCCTGTGCATTGCAACTCAGGTGTGGCAGGAACGTGTCTCAGGGAATGCAAAATGCACTTGTGACCTGACATGAAAAAAGGGGAGGCCTGAAGAAGGGGGTGTTTATCTTTGTGGAGGGTTGTTATGACAGAGTTAGCACTGCCTCGCCAGTCCTCTTCTGGGTTGCCAGTAGTATTAAAAACAGGTTGAAACGGTGCAAATTTGGGGCGAGGTTCCCAGCCCTTGTGCCCCTGGTGGCATTTCTGCAGCTCTGGGGTGGCCGCATGATGGCAATATTGCCCATTTTGTGCTGCTGCCTTGAACCCTGTCACGGTGTGTTTATAGGGATGTCCCCAGGGACATTTAACATTTTATAATTTCTTAATATTTCTTATAAAAATACTTTTTTTCCCCCCTTCTTCTTCTTTTTTCCTTTCCTTTTTTGGCCTGATGAAAACCCAGCAAATGCTCAGTCTTTTCAATGAAGTGGCATATCCTTCCAGGCTGGGAGTCAAATCCCAAACTACCCAGTTTTCTGGATGAATTGGCAGAGCATTCCCACAACCTGAGGGTGTCTCTGTGTGCTCTGCAAGAAGCTTTGTCTCCTTGGCCAGAGCTCTGCCCCTGCAGGCTCCAGCCTCCCCATCACTCCCAGTCTTCTGCCAGCTCTGACCAGCAGGGAGGACCAGGGAGCAGAATCCCAATGAATCTACGAATATAAATGTCAGATGTTTCTCATCTTCTACCTACACCAGCCCTCTGGCTGATCACTTGGGGCTGCAAAGAAGAAGGATGTTTGCAAACTGGGCAAAATGGAAGAAAACTGACCACTCATCCTGTCTCAGAATGGACCCATTTCTGGTTTATAAGAAAGCAGAAAGTTTTTTTTAACTTTATTTTTTTTCCTAATGATTTTTTTCTAAAGTAGGAAAAAAAAAAGGAGAAATTTAATACAAAAAATCTCTTAAACTGATGTATAAAGGCACATACATAGGGTTCCATCTGTATGGATACATGTGTGTATGAAGCAGCTAACAGGACCACTTATCATTCAGCTCTCTCAGAAAAACCCCTGTTCTCAGGCACAATTAGTGATGCTGAACAGCTCAGCAGCATTTGTCATCTTCAAAGTGGTTTATAAATCTGAGCAAGTGGTTAAGACTGGTCTCACTGGCTTTTTTTTTTTTTTCCCTGGTATTTCTGCTGCTTCCTGTGCAGGGGAAATTGTTGAAGTGGCTTCTGGCTTTCAGAGAGCCTCATTTGTCACAGTGATCCTGGTGTAGCTGCAGGGGTGGTCAATGTTGCAGAGTTTAGCTAAAGTGAATAGTTTCTAGAAATGGGAAATTTGGAATTCAGGTAGTTTCAGGCTGGGAATTAAAAAATTCAGGTGCTCCAAATGACTTCTGCCTTCTGGGAATTTTCATCTTGATTTCCAATTCTGATTTGGAGGCTGGGGAAGAATTTTACCTGGTCAGGTGGCTAGTTTGAATCTGTATTTCATTACAAGCTGGCTCTCCTGATGAATGTCTCCTGTTTACTCCCTTTTTGGCACTAATCAGTTATAAAGTGCTTTGAGTCCTTGCAAGGGGCTCCAGGAAAGCTGAGGAGGGGCTTTTCATCAGAGAAGACAGTGATAGGACAAGGGGTGATGGTTTTAAACTGAGAGAGGGGAGATTCAGGTGAGATATTAGGAAGAAATTCTTCACTCTGAGGGTGGTGAGGAGCTGGGATGGGTTGCCCAGGGAGGTGTTGATGCCCCATCCCTGGAGGTTTTTAAGGCCATGTTGGATGAGGTTTTGTGCAGCCTGATCTAGTGGTTCCCTGCTTATGGCAGGGGGGTTGGAGCTTGATGATCTTTGAGGTCCCTTCCAACCTCAGTGATTCTATGAGATCTTCAGGGTACATGTTGGACTGCAGTGTTGTGTGATGATGTACAGCTCATCCTCTTGATTCTTTTTATCCTTAAAACACAACACACCAACCAAAAGAGCAAATGCCCTGGTATAAAAACAAGATCTCCAAACTGTTCTTTTGCTTTGTCAGGTTGTCCCATGTTTTTGAGCAAGATTGCCCAGATCTTCTCTGATATTAAACCTTTTCAACACCCAGCCCTTCCTGAGCCCAGAGGCCATTCTACACCCTCAGAAGAAAGGCTTGATTTTAAATCTGCTGCATGGACCAAAGAGTAGGGCTTCTAACACTTGAAGTTGCTGGGAAAAGATCATCTTCATTTATCAATTTGATTGCATGAAAACATCAGCCTGATACAGGAGATCATGTCTAATGGGTAGGACTGGGAATTCAAAATGTCTTAAGGAATGAAAAAGATCCATATCCCCCCAGTTATATTTCAAATTGCACCATTTAATTTTGGAGGGGACAGGGATATCATGATCATTTTAAGGTTATTTTTTTCACTTACTACTAAAATGCAGACATCTTTGGGGCAGAGGGCAGTAGCTGTCTGACAGTGCTTCACATCCAGGTATTAATGTTCCCAGGAGGGACTGGAGAGGAATGTTTTATCCAGTGAAAACCGCAAGAGAAACTTCTGTGGCCAGGACTTAATTGCTGAGGTTGGAAGTTGGCCAGGAGACAAGCTGTATGTTCTGCTCCTAGGGAAAAAAAAAAAAAAGCATCATGATCAGGCGTTTCAAAATCCAAATATTAGCTAAAGCCTGGTATCTCTTCAGGCTAAAAATAGAGAAATTCTGATCCATGCCAGCATGGCCAGTTTGGAGCTGGTACTGGTTTCACTGCTTAAAACTTGGGATGCTGAGATGTATGAGCACCTTTTGGGAGCAGAGTGACAAAACCTATTTTTTTCCTGACTTGTGATTCTATGGAATGATGACAATTTATTTAATTCCTTGAACTAAACCATGATCCACTTGCAGAATCTGGTACAAGTGCAGTTTTGTTAACGTGGGGGATCTGGTGATTCCCCCCAAGCACTGCACTCAGGTTTTTCTTTCACTGCTGGAATAGGAGTGTTGAAATTCTGTTGCATTTCTCAGTACAGCTTGGTTCCAAATAATCTCTGTTGGAAAGCATTTTCCACATGACTTCATTCAGTAAGAAGTTTATCTGAGTTCAAAGTCCAGAGGAGTCACATGGGCTTTTCAACAGCCAGAGACTTGAAGTTCTTCTGCAGTCTTAAGATTTTAAAAAGAAGAAGTGAAGGAAGAAGCAGAATGTTCTGCACCACTGCTAATCCAGAAGAACAATTTTAAATGTGGGCTCTTACACCATCACTTGCCCCCATATTCAACCATCTCAATTCATGGAACACATGAGGTTGGGGTATCTAGTCCTGCAGGAGCTCACAGCTCCAGTGCAGAGCCCTGGTATTTGACATTCTGCCAACAGGCCAGCAAGGATTTAGGTGCTGAGTCTGGAGTGTTTCCTCATGGGAAAGTCAGACCTTCACAACACTTCACACACCAACCTTTCCTCAGCTCTCTTGTCCAGCCTGGAAGTGAGTTAAATTATCACCTCACTTCCAGAGATTTTTTTCCCCTGGTCTTCACTACTTTTTTTGGTCTGTTTCCCTTTCTCTATATCTAAAAATAAGTATTCTTCCCTTGTCTGCCTACTCAGGATGGAATTTAAAAACAGAAGGCTCAGTTAGGCTTAAACCTTCCATCCACTGATAAATTTATGATGCCTCTGATAACAAACAGCATCATGAAAACCAGCTTCCCTTCCATTTCTGTTACACTGGCAGGTAGATTCACTAATGATGATGCCAATTAAATTCTTGCTGGGCATGCAGAGCACTCTGCTGTACCCAAACTGTCTGTCCTCTTGGAGACCTCAGTAGGAAACCATTTGTGATGGGCAGGAGGCCTCCTGATGTGTGTAAAGTGCCACAGGGCTCTGTGTCTTCTGGCTGCCCTGTTTGTCTGCACCTCTTTGCCTGCAGATCACTGCTGGCTGCTTTTTTTTTGGCATTGCTTATCATCTCACCCCCCAATACCAGCTCTGAGCTGCTCCTCTCTGTCCCAGTCTCTCAGTTCTCTGTTGGCTGGGCAGCAAGAGGGGCTGGCTGATAACCTGACCAGCTGGTGGGCAACCAGCCCAGATCAGCTGCACTGACAAACCTTCCCTAGTGGGGGGCACTTTCTTCTGTTTGCATTGACCTGCTGATTTGCCAGTAGTTGGCAGGGACCCAGCAACGTGGTGACCTCTGTTCATTTCTCAGCTAGGTTTGTTGGGTTCAAGTAAGTTAATGAGTTCAGAAATCACCCAGGATGGAGCAGAAAGGAGACAGACAGACAGACAGATTGCAGATAGTTTGCTTCTTTAGGATTTTTGGGTAATAACCCTTAAAAACACAGTAATAAATAGACAGACAGACAGACAGATAGATAGATAGATACATAGACAGATAGATAGATGGTAGATAGATAGATAGATAGATAGATAGATAGACAGATAGATAGACAGATAGATAGATAGATGATTGATAGATAGAGAGATGATTTATTGATAGATAGATAGATGATTGATTGATAGATAGACTGACAGATAGACAGATAGATAGACAGATAGATAGATGATTGATAGATAGATAGATAGACAGATAGATAGATAGATAGATAGACAGATAGATAGATAGATAAAAAAGAGGAGAGACAGGCCTATTTTATGTCTTCTGAATCAGAAGGTCTCAGTGTGAGTTTCCTTGTTTAAGAAAGCCAAAAATATAAAAATACTGGAAACTCTGCTGAATCTTGTTGAAGATGATGTTTATTTGTTGGGTGCTGTAGCACCTCAACTCACTGCAGACTTGTTCTTTGTGTAGATATTCACCTCCTATGTGTATTTTAAATGGGGTAAACTTGACACTGTGGAAGTTAAGTTGGATGCCTTTGAAAATGCAAGCTGGTGAGACCCAAGTGGCATGTCCATACAGGTGGAATGGCCTGGGGCTCTAACATGCAGAGGGCCACTCAGTGATACTGGCTATTTTTGAATTTCAGCTCTGTAATTTCTATTTTTGCAGTATTAGAAGAGCTGAGAATGAGGCCCCCTCCCCTCCTGTGCTGGCAGTCACAGCAGCTAAAACAGGCAGTAGATTAAATGGCCAAGGGAAATCATTACAACTAGAAACTGCATAATATCCAATCATGAAGGCCAGACAGTTTTAACTAATATCTCCCCCACTACTCATTCTTCAGGGTTTGCTCTCTCCAGAATCATTTGCACTAATGATGTTTGTTTATTACTGTTGTTCTTTAGGTAGGTGTTGCTGACCTGGATGTGGCCAATAAAGAGGGTATGGGACTCAAACAGTAACAGCTGCCAAAGAGGATTTAATTCTTGTATGAGGGAATCACTGACTGCTGAGAATAATGCTTGACATGTCATGAAACTGGTCAAATTGGTCCCTGCTCTTACTCTGAGGGATGTGAGTTTAGATCAATATGTGGTTAGAGGAAAACCATGTAAAGAGAGGTCAGCAAAAAGATACATCAAACAGCAGCTACAGATGATGTATTTTCTTTGTGTACACCCCAATTAAATTAGGATCCAAGATTTGCACTGGTATCATTGCCAGCCTTCAGCACCTCATGAGGCTGAGGTGAAGGTTAAGCCCTGTTTACTGACAGAAAGGCCTCATCTCCTCCCAACACTGAATCTTTCAAACTTGGAAGAAGTTTTCAAAATTTGGAGAAGTGAGGATCTTCAGCAGTAATCTGATGAGCTGGGTTCCTATCTTAAGGGCAAAGTATGAGCTTTGCTGTCCAGGAGTGTGATGATCTGTACTTTGTCCATGCTTCTGTGTCTCTCTTTCAGGTAGGACAAAGTTGTTGTACTGCATCCATGAGGTGAGAACATTAAGGTGTCCAAGGTAATTCTGCATTGCTTATGCATTGTTTGGGTGGCTTCTGCTCACATGCTTCCTCTTCCACCTCACTCATTATGTTTTGCCATTGCCTTTTTGCTTTTGCCATGGATTTACCTGCAGCAGTGCAAACCATCTGCTCATCTAAAGCACCAGCATGATTTGCTACCTCTGAAAGAAAATGCAGTTTTGGCTTTGGTGGAGCTCCTGGAAGTAGCTGTTTGGGTCACTATTGAGGTGAAATGGTTAATGTCACAACAGTTTATGTGAGGTTGGCAGGTGGATGTGGTGCCTCATCCTGCAGTGGGACACTTGGTGTTCTTGTCATGTGCCACCTGCTGCTCTGCACCTTCTGCTCATCCCTCTCTTTTGTCCCTTTGTCTTCCTGGCCACACCATGATCCTCTCCAAGGCTTTGGAGCCCTATAGCTTTCAAAACACACCAGCTGCTTTCCCAACAATGCTGATGCACAGAAACCTGCTGTCATAGTCTTTTGATGATTTACCTTTCACTTCTCCTCCTTTCAGAGAGATGATTCTTTCAGTGCCTTCCTGGAATCACAGCACTGCTCCAAAGTCCTTTCCCAGATCTGCAGGGTGACTGTCCTGGGCCCTTTCTAGTCCCCTTTTTCAGGATGCAGTCAAGCATTTTTGCTCATCACTTCTCCCAGCCCAGTGGAATGAAGGGGCAGTTCATATCTGGGTTTCCTCTACGACTTTTTACTCTGTTGGCTCTATTGGTAGGTAAGTAACACTGATCCATTTCTTGGGGTTATGCTCATCCTTTCCTGGATAAAGCCTGGTTTGCACACTCTGACATGGGTGAATGATCAGAACCAGCCATTTGTGTGCTCAGGTTTCAGGAAACCATGTGTGTACAGTAAATGAGAGAGGTTTGCTTTATTCTCCTGTATAATAATCTCCATTCCGGCTGTTGTGTCTTCAGTTTGGGAAGCTCAGAACATAGATGTGTATAGAAACATGCTGTCCTCATGGATGCATTCTCCTTGGGGATATAAAATGAAATGGCAGCAATTGAATCTAATGATTTTCATGAGTTTGCTCACAGCTCTTACCCTGGACACTGCTGGGAAGGATGTGGTGCTGGCATGAAAGGCAGTGCTTGCAGATGGGAAAAATCTGGACCTGATTTGATTATCTTCACAGGCTTACCAAGTGTAACTAACTAGCTCATAAAACTGAACAAAATGTATTTCACTGTTAATTCCTCAAAACCTCTGTCAGCCTGTTTCCAATCAATATTGAAGAGGAGGCAAAAATGTTATTAAAAAAAACCCCAAACAACAAAAAGCAACACAAAACCATACACATGTGTAAATATCTTGCAATTGTTTGGATTGGACAGAGGTAAAAACCAGAGAAAATGAAAGACAAATGCTTGCTAGCTTGGAATATCATCCATCTTGAATAAAGCAGGAGGCTGTTGAGTCAAGAATAAGCTGTAAATGCCATAGAGTGGGGAAAACCAGCTGTCAGCCTTCATATGTCATGGTATTGCTGTAACCTTGACATACATGCTGACCCATCCATTTGAGTAAACTGGTTAATGACATTCACCCTCCTCCTGGCACCTGTCTCTCCATTGCAGCACTTTTCCTGTGCTCTCCCTGCTCACCTCTTCCTGAAAATGTGGGTTCTCTCCTCCTGATGGTGTTTAGGTTGGGTATTGCTCCCTTTTGAATGTGAGTAGTCCCCTCATCAGTTGTATTAGAAGCATGAGAGAGAGGGTTTTTTTCCCACAGCAGAAAGCAACCTGTAAGGTGAGTGACAAATAAGAAACAGCTCCATGTCACAGCCAAAGTGACCAGTTTACATTTTAGAACAGGGAAGATTATAAGGCAAAATTAGAAATTAAGTAACCCAGGGTTTTGCTTGTGTTTTGACAAACAAACAAGCCTGTTTTGTTGAGTGTAGTCACAATATAGACTCTAGGTGGAGAAATTCTTCCATATGGTCTCTCTGGGGAGACCTTGTAGCACCTTCCAGTACTTGAAAGGGGCCTACAGGAAAGCTGGGGTGAGAACCTTAAGTGATTCTCTGATTCTGTGATTCTGTGATTGCTTGATGAGGTGTTATCAGGATGCTTTGTTTGTCAAACAATTGGACAGATTTCCCACTGACCTATGAAAAAGCCAGAGAAATTGCCAAGAGCCTGTGTTTATAGGTAGGAAAATAGAAAACATCAAAACATAAAAGGAGAAAGTGACATTATATATATATATAATATATATATATATATTTATATATAGGTAGAATGATACTTCTGAGTTTGGTTCTATTTAACCATCACTTTTTTACAGGAGTGAAAAATTAAGCATGTATATAAGCTGGCTGCAATTCCCTTGAAACACATAAAGGAAGTAGAAAGAAAGAAACTTAAGAAAAAACCTGATTGAAAACAGGCACTGAATGGCTCTAGTGCTGGTGCCACCTCATCTTCTTTCTGTGTGCAGAGAAGATGATGCTTGGGACTCCAAGAGCCACCTTTCACTCTTAGAAAACATCAGCTCAGACAAGAATTTAGGGTCAAATGATCCCTGTGCAGTGCAGATCAGGGTAGCCAGGCCAGTTTCCAGGAGCATGGGGCTGGTGAAAGTTTTACCAGCTGTTTGCCTGAGAGCCCTAAGCCAGGCAGAAATGTTCCTTTTCATTTTTTAAGAGCTATGAGCTGTGTGAGTGTAGAACATTGCACCAGTTTTCAGTCCAATTCTGACCTCACTTCCACTTGTCTAATTGAGGGGCCTTTTTTTTCTTTGCAATCACTGGGGTTGCACTGGCATAAGACTCATCTGAGTTGTGACCCCACTCTGTTAACAGCATCAACCAGGCAAATCAAAGTTAGCTAATGCCATAAAGGGTGATTACACCCACTCCTTCCAAACTGCCTGATTCACATGGTGATTCACAGAACAAAACAAAGAACAAAAAACAACAAACAACAATAAACCATCAAGAACAAAAAGGAGATCAGAATTTTGGGTCCTTAGGGAATACCCAGAGATACCTGGGGATGTTCTAACTGTGAGCTTTGATCCTGGGCATCCCAAACAGCCTTTTATGGCCTTGATGACTTTTGGGGTGCTTTACATTAAAGAGGACCATGTAGCCCACACTTCCAAATGGTTTGGAGTGTTGTTTTGGGCCAGTTCCATCCTTAATCTAGTCATTAACACAGCAGGAGACTGGAGAAAGAGTCAAAAATAGTTCTCTATTTAGATGACCCCTTTTTTTTTCACTATGCAGAGATGACTGGTAGGTAAATAAAATTATTTAAGAACTGCTGGTCTCTAATAGAAAAAGGCTTTTTATAGTGGAGGAAAATCTGCTTTCAATTCCTATTGTTAGATATTATTTTAGTAAATGAAAACAAAGTGTGCTTGGGAAGCTGCCTAGGAGACACGTGGTTTGTGGGTATTGGTATTTTTATGGGGAAAAGATGCAGCTTTTTTCTTTTATGTCATGGTTGGATAAAATGATGTAGTCAGTATGGGTGATGGGCACTCACCCAAGCTCCTTTGATATGTGCAGGGCAGCTCTTCAGGCTTGTCAGCTTCATAGGGGAAGTTATTTCTGTGTGCAGCCCAGAAGTCTCTTCTTTGGTCTGGTTAAAATTCATGTTCAAACTACCTAAATTCTATTTGTCATCTTGAGGTCTAGAAAACAATTGCCATGTGAAATGATGCTGCATTTCTAGCTGCTTGGCTTGCACAATTTGAACTGGTTTTATCAGCATCAGTTAGGAGAGAAGGAGGCATTTCCTGATGCAATCAGTGTTATGAAGCCAATGGGCAGTTCCAGTTCTGTGTTAGCTCATGTTGGTTGCACTGGTGATTAACTACTGAGCAGGGGACACAGCAGAAAAGGAAACTGGATGAAAACAGCAAAATGTGAGAGTATCACTAGCCTTGTGTTTACAGAGCAGCAGATTTCCTCCCTCTTCCTCCTCTGCCCCCTTCTCCCTTTTGCCAGTGTTCAACTGCAAACATGGCATGACCTCACTGTGTTGCCTAAATGATTTCTGGATTAAATCAGCTGAGGTTTCCTGTGTTCTCAGCTTGCTGTGATGTTTAGTGGTGGTGGGAGAACCTCCAAGGATTCAGATGGCAGGTGTAGATCAGATAAGCAGTGAAGCTATCGACTGGAATGAAACCTCATGGCTTTGCACTCTGGTCCTTCCTGCTTCTGGTTATGTTGAAAATACCTCAAAGCCTGTTTTGGTGTCTCTATCCAGCTATGTCAGACACCTCAGGAGGAGGTTTAGGGCTCACTAGTCTTTCAGATGAACAAACTTAAGGTGAAGAACATCATGTTATTTCTTTTTCCTTACTCTGAATGTGACTAAACATTATTTTTCAAGTATTGATGCCCCATTCTGCAGCATGACCCTTGTTTCAGGACTTGTAAAGCAATTCTAGAAATCCCAGTGGAACAGACTGCAGTTTTCTCTGAGCTAGCAAAGTCTGTGAAGTCACTGTACCAGGAGCATTTAGTGTAAGTAAAAATATGTTCAGAAAATAGAGCAAGAAACTGAGGTACAGGTGGGTTACTAACTGAGCCAGGAAAAGAATCCAGATTTTTCCAGCTTGGTGTCAGCAGCAAGACTAACTTTCCCCAGAGCAGCAGTTTTCTTCCAGTGCCTCAGTGCCTGTGTGTGCCAGCTGTTCCCTTTGCAAGCCAGATGTGCTGGAGCAGAAGCCAGATGGCAAGATTATTGGTAGCCTGCTCACATCCCCCCAGAGCTGGCCCTCAGAGAAACAGATCAAAGGACTCTGTCTAGATCAGCATCACATCTGCAGAACAAAAAGACCCATTTCAGGCACTTGGAGAAGCCCAGCCTGGCCTGTAGCTCACTGAGAGACACAGCACCACCCATGGCAAGTCCTGCCCAGAACTTGAGGAACCAGTAGCCCATCAGCTCTTGCTCTAACTGCTCTATTGCACATGTGAGTTTTATTCATATCGA